GGGGTCTGAGAGGGGACAGGGTTTGGGGGGCAAGAATTCAGTGATGGGGCTGAGGTCTGAGGGGAGACGGGGCTCGGGGGGACAGGGATTCACTGATGGGGCTGAGGTCTGAGGGGACGGGGCTGTGAGGGGACAGGGATTCAGTGATGGAGCCGGGGTCTGAGGGGAGACGGGGTCTGAGGGGAGACAGGGATTCAGTGAGGGGGCTGGGATCTGAGGGGACAGGGTTTGGGAGGCAGGAATTCACTGATGGGGCTGGGGTCTGAGGGGGGACGTGGTTTGGGGGGACAGGGCTATGGGGGAGCAGGGATTTATTGAGGGGGTCAGGACTGTGGGGAGGTGTCAGGGCTGTGGGGGGACAAGGCTATGGGGAGAGGGATGTGACTGTGGGGAGAGGATCAGGGCTTTGGGGTAACCAGGGCTATGGGTGAAAAAATAGGGGTGGGCAGGATGGGACAAACTGTGATCCTGCCCCATYCACTGCCCCCAGCTCAGCCCCTCAGCCGGGAGATTCGGCTCCCGGTTGAAATCCTTCTCTGCACCCTTCTGGACTGGGTTGTTGGTGCCCCTGGCCCAGGACAGGGCCATTGGCAGAGTCACTGGGGCCAGATATGGGGAATCCGACCCACGGAGTTCCAAACTTGGCCTCAGCCCGGCTAAACGGAGCAAACATTATGAGGTGCTGGCCTGGGAGCTGAGTTTGTGGGGTTTAACCTGGTTTTACCCCAAACTGGTTTGTCTGCAGGTCACAGAAAGGGAAACAGTCCTTGCCCACACTGGGCTGCTCCCRGCGAGAGCCAGGTGGGAGCAAAACCCAAACCACAACCCGCGTTCTGGGGAGAAATTATAGCCGGGGAGATGGGGGAGGCGAGGGGGAGGTGTGTGAGGARGGGAAATCCCGCTGCAGGGATTCCTGGAGTGAGGGGTGTGGGGAGCTCGTGGGACGGGGGTGTCGGGAGTGCTCCCTGTCACACTGTGAGGGAGGCCTGGCTGCTGCTGGGCTGTGCCATGCCCGTGGTGTGCCATATCTGCTGTGCCATATCTGCTATGCCACGTCCATGGTGTGCCATATCTGCTATGCCATATCTGCTGTGCCAC